GGGGGGGGGGGGGGGGGGGGGGGGGTTTCCACTTCCGCACTTCACACTTCGATTGCAAGGAGTGGCATTCTGTACAATCATCTTTGAGAATCATATATACTTGCTTTTAAATTATACAAACATGCTAAACTGTAGATTCTTATAGCAACAGACAAGTCAGAAAATCAAGCAACGAAAACGTATGATCGTATGCCTGTATGTATACTGCCCTTTTATTCTCTTGGGTGCGTGCGCAGTTTCATTTCACGCGTACGTTTCTGGTTCTGATATTTATGATATTCTTATAATATGCCATTGAATTGTTGTCATATGGAAACGGTATAAATTTCGTTAAATGGAGGTCTCAAAAGCGACAGTGCCTTGCTGGTCTAATTGTTTGGGATCGATACGACAATCCACAATTGTATGCATTTCCTTTTTTGTCTGCACGAGTACCAGTGGTACCAGTTTGTCGAAGCCAAAACATTGCACAGCATCTCCTATATGATTCTATCCCCATTCAACCTCGCCCCTTGAATACAAAGGAATGATAGCCGAAAAGGTTTAGCAAAGTATTTTTATTATATCTGGTATAACCCTACGTTTTATCAGGGATATTCAAGGGTGGATTGACTACAAAATTTTTGTAGACAAAAATAGTAGTTCGCTACAAGAATAGTTCGCTACTGACTACAGCTACTGCTTAAAAAATTGTAGCGAACTATTTCGCTATTTCGCTGCCCTATATTTTTTTAGTTTTACGGTATTTGGAGTATCCACTAGCACAGGCTGTAATAATAGCTTATAACAAATTATTGACTTACGAGTAGCAACAGTAAACAAAAAGGGTCAAAGCAACATTTTTGTAAGCACTACATTGTTCAGCAGTGCCACTTTTCATTGCGCTAAAATAATCTTTACTGTATAAAATAATCTTTTATGCAAAGCGTGTCTTAATATCATTCTATTCTATGAACGGTTGATAACAATTTTAAAAAGTAGCTGAGCGAATAGCGATTCGCTGTTTGAAAAGTAGTCAACTATTTGGCTACTTTTAGGCAAAATGTAGTTCGCTATAACTACAACTACTGTTTTAAAAAAGTAGTCAAAAACTACAGGCTAGCTATTTGAAAATTATAGTTCGCTACAGTAGCGAACTACAACTACTTCGCTACTATCTACCCTTGGGGATATTTTATATACATAATTCATAAACTGTGTATGGGCAGGAAGTTTCGCTCATAGCTAGAACTACTTAAATTAATGAGTTTTAATAAGCCTTTTAAAGTTTCCATTGATGGATAGGTTGTTTGTCTCCAGTATCGTTCGGTGAAAATTCTAAAATGTCAGTACAGTATACGACAAAAATTAAAGTTGATTTAAATAATGATGACTCACAGCGGCATTATACAAGTCGAAGGAAGCAGTATTTCAAGCCGGGTTAATCTTCAAATATAGCCCTGAATGGGCAATGGCAATGCCGATGAAAGGTCTTTTTAAGATTTATAATGTACTTCAGTACCTGCTGTAAATTACTGTAGTACATGAAATCTGAATAAATTTATTATAAAGTACAATACCAGTGCCTGGAGCAATCTTGTAACACCAGCATATATCGACCTAAATATTCAAGTTGTACCGCACGCACGGAAAAACATTTAAAGCAGGAGGAAGTCTTGAGACTCTTGGCGTTCGCGTGATAACAGATAGCTATACTTCGAGTCATCGACACAATTATTCTTGATCGTTGAGTTTCAGCAATGTAAATGAAAGGAGTGGAATTTTACAGTCCATAACCGGTTTTAATCCTGTGTTTTCACAGTCAAGGTAGCAATAATGTTTACACACAGTTGGCGATGTTTGGCGGGAAATCGAAGAATCCAGTTATAAAATAAATCCTTTATCGGACAGGATACACTTGAACCATAAACAACCATATCGCTCATTTGGTATCGTTTTGGTCGATCAGTCGGTAGAAGACATATATGTTTCTACGGCGATGCGTGCTCAACTTCGCAAGCCAGGCGCGTGTGGAGTCCTTTCCTTGGAAGTGAAATATTATGACCCAGCTTCTCGCTTGAAATGTACCGTATGACTTATTATTTGATAGCTTAAGATCTACGACGTCGACGTCAACTAGGACGTCAGGGCTATGCAGAGGGCTGGGACTAGGATCTCGTCCTAATGTAGTTCCAGTCCTCTGCTTAGCCCTGATGTCCTAGCTGGCGTCGACGTCGTAGATCTTAAGCTATCTAATGATGACATTCAGTAATGCAGGAAGTCTTGTCATGATGAATGCGAATTTAGAACAGTTCCTTTCACGATTTCCTGTGGCAACTGTGAGGACTCATATCCGGTTAGACGCACAAGGATCAAGTTACACGTGGTTCATTTTTAAAGTTCGTCCAATTTTATCAATCTTCTAAGCGTTTTGAAAGAAAGCCAGAAAGTAGTAATAAAATTTTGTCGTATTATGAATATTTGTAAATTACTATAAGCATGATCATTTTTAATAACAGCTATAGTTATTACACCATAATCAGCCGGGGCAGTTTTAGTGCAAACTATTTCTAATATATAATATAGTGCATGCACCAATTTCCCAAAGCAAGCACGAAAGCTGGGACATATATGCGTTAAAGCCCTCTTGCCCCCCCCCCCTCTCCCCCAACAAAATTCAAAGTAAAAGTGAACAAATTCCCTTCACATCTCTTTTTGCACGAAAGGAATTAGTTCATTCAACTTAGCCTCGCAACTCCGCAATAACGGGGCGGAATTAGTCCCTTCTGCTCATGGGCTTACCGCGCATGCCGATGACTCGAGAGCAAAATATACATTCAACATAATAATTAATAACGTGCAGTTAATTCATTTATTCTACAGACTTGTTTAATATTTAAAAACCGAGTATAGCAATATAACTATATACTAGCTAATAACCTGCGCTCGTTATACATATATTAGCGAGACGATTATATCAGATTATATCCCTTATGCCACTATATAATGTTCAAGAAATTAAAGGATTACATATTTTGTGAAAGTGAGGCATATTTTGGATAGTTTAATTTCCTTTCTAACTGGCTGAAATAAGGAATCCGCCAAATTCAGTATACCGACTGGTTCCATGTACAGCGTAGCTACTACTATTCTCTAACCTAACCCAGAATGTCTCGTCCTTTGCCAAAGCCACGTGAATTGTTTTCGTTAGCTGATCATAGTTCTTGTGGTTTGAATGTATATCACTGATAACACTACTCCCTTTCATCAACCTAACGTGAGAGCTGTAGCCATTTCGTTGAAGGTATGTCGCAGTGAACTGGTATATACCGGCAATAGGCGCAGTGAATATGCCAGTGCTTGGGTTATAACCGTCTCCAGTATTCAAAGTAACGTCGTTAAATTTAATGGCACCGCCAGAGTAGCTAGGTCCAATCGAACCTGATGTCAGCGTTGCTTGGAATGCAACCACAGTCTGAAATAGAGAATACAAAATTTTGCATCAAACTAAACCGTCACTTCAATTTTGCTAAAAAAGTCGGAACTTCACATTTTTGCACTGAATGAAACAAACATCATATCACGATTTTTAATTCATTGATATTTGAGTATTTGACCTATCAAATTTGTTATCTGTTTAATTTCTAGAGTCCCTTCATTTTGCGACACTGATATTCCCACTTGTCCATTGCTGGTTAACTTAGTCAACAAAGATAATTGCGGGTCTCCCAAGGATTTCAGTCTTGCCTATTCATGACATTCAAAATATTGTGATGGTAAATTGCAACACTACCACCCACGCGATTATGATTTTTAACTATATTTCATATCCTGGTATATGCTGACAACATCCGTGCTTATCGTTTCAGCAAGTCTACTTTCATTTATACTTAGGATATCGAGCAGGGTTAACGTTTTTTCAAGATATATTTTCAGTTCATCAATATGTTTAACTATATAATGATGCAATATTCAAGTGCCCAGCTCTAAATCCTTTTAACGATTGAAAAAAAATCTATATTATCATTATTTCCTGATTGTGGAAAATTTTCACTTGCAGAGTAATTTTGCTCAACAAGTGAACTGCTGCTGCTAATGGGTGGAAGACTAATGGAATTGAAGATGCTGTACACATGTAATAAAATTCCTAGCTAATATGGATGTAATCTATTGAGCGACGAGCTATCAGTAGCGTAACGCTCGTTAGGTGTATGGTTACTTCAAAAACTAGGTAAGGGCCCCCGACAGTTAGGGGCCCCCATCAGCCACGGTCTATCGCCCAGAAAATTAGAAAACGTTAAAAATGCAATGGAAAATTAATAATGCTAAATAATAAAGCCTCCATCGACAATTGTAGCTGATTTTTTATTCCACCTCAAATAAAACAAATGTTATTCTTATTAATTGTTACATGTGTTGGAGACTATTATTGTTATAGACACGGAATTTCCAGAACATTCTATAAATATTCAAAATAAATATAATATCTCAGTCAAACACACCCAAATACGCCACACCAAATATGCCTAATGCCCCTTCTTCCTCCGCTACGCAGCTGCGAGCTAGTGATGTTATTATTAGTAGATTATTGACCTCTTTTACTGTTTTCTTGGCTTTAATGTTGTCTTCTCTGTCGATCAGTTCAGAGAGGGTTATTTCAATATCAGGGGCTAACTCTTTTATTTCCTGACACAAATAGTGTATTCCTGACGCATACGTTTATAATAACTATATATTGTTGTTATCCTGTCTCTGTTTCAAGATATCACTTGCGAACAATTGACAATACTTTACTAGTCAATTGTATATTGATGTGTTTCGTAATATATTGTTTCAAGGCAGGAGCATTGGGGTGAAATAGGTCAGTGGGTAGGAATCTATATTATTATGGCGTCATGGCCAGAAATTGCGGACATGGATTCTGAGCATGTGCGAACTTTCACAAACAAAATAGCGGATTTGTTATATATAAATTATTAGGAGTGGCGCGGTTTTTTTAAATTTAAACGTGTTTGATAATAGCTATGTCATTTGCAGACTTCGCAATAATATAAATTATATCTGGACCATAAAACAGAAAAGTTTCGCATCGAAATCTTACCTATAAGTTGTTCCATTATTCAAGTTCACTTTATATTACATCGGCGTATAATAAAGTATAATAAAACTTGAGAAAATTGTTGAAAACGTACATTTTGCTCTGGCCGCATGTATCCCTCGAACCCTTCGTGAAATTTGCAGACTGCGCGTCCTAAAATATATGTTGTCCCCTGCTTGTCTGCATAATTTCATAGTGATACGAATTTTTTAACTTGTTCCAATTTACGGGACAAAATGTTGATATTTTACCCATAAATACCCTGTCCATAGACCGTAAAACACTGCAAGAAGAATGATGTTTAATTAATTAATGAATTGTCGTCCATGTTTGATATCAACAAGAAGCTTAGGAACCAGGCTTTCTTCCAGTGTGGGTTACACAGAGGGATAGCGATGTATACACAAAATATTTGAGTCGTTTATCATGCGCATCACTTTATATCCCATCATAATAAATGAAAGGTATGTAAAAGGCCGACAGTACCTATTATATCTATTTTTCTGCTTTATTTAAACAAAAAACTAAGCAAAATGTATTTTTTTAGTTAAAACTTGCGTTTGTTAGGTATGAATAACTTTTCAGAGGAAAGGTAAGACGCATTTCCTGTGGATTTTTACTGCCATGGATTTGTTAAGTGTGCAACTAAGACAAGTATGGTCTTACAATTCGAATTGTAAATATTTTAAAATGGAATAACCGTTTTAGCACAAATTTCCCTGAAATATCAATGCCCTGTTTTTGCACGTATATATTATTTTCTGATTATGTTTACAGTCTAGCAAGTGCTTGGCGGCCATTCACTTTTTAAAGTTGTCAATCGCCTACTGGGTAGGGTGGGGCAACGATTTATTGCTATTCGTAGATTTTAGGTTTTCAAAATATTTAGAAAACATATAAACATGCAGGCAATCATATTTTTCTATAACTCTCATTTCGACGCGTATATTTTGTATTATTTTTAAACCCAGTTTTCGCTCGTTCAAGTTCTATAAAGACGAATTTTGTCATGTTACAACTGACTCTTCCACAGTCCCTCATCAGTTATCCATACGCGCGGCTTCACGTTATATCGCATTCCCATTAAGCCCCGCGCTCCCATTGTTTTTCCACTGATCTCTATTCCCAACTGAAGCGACGAGGGACGAGGCAGAGGTTACAAGTTGTGCCAACGAAATGTCGCTGTTTTACATTAAGTCGCTGTTAAATTTCTTGGCTTTGTAAAACATTTAGAAGTGTTAGTATTTTTGGTTTGAATTTCACATGTTATTGAAGCTATCAGACGACATTTTGAAAGGATTTTTTTCTCTGTTTTGTTTTGCACTGAAATAATCGATATTAATAGTTTACATTGTAAACATTGTTGTAATTGAGGAAATCAAAGTATTGCTGCGACAATTTTTGTGGTAATTTGTGGCCCTAAACAGTCGCTGCAACATTGTCATTCGAAGACTTTGTTCTGCATGTTGTTTATGTTTTTTAAATCGACCAAGTGGAAGCACGCATATCTTCTTCTCCCACCGAAAGCCCGAGCAGTTTTCGTGCATGTTCAGACGTCAAGTTTCCCACCTGTTCTAAACAAGACTTCATTATGCTTGCGGCCGGTGAGTAATTTTCCCATGATCGTACGAGAGGGGGGAGGATGCATGGGGTAGAACGGGCAATGTGCTAGACCTGGTCTACACTGCACGGCACTGCATGATGGCAATTGGATTTATATTGAGACAATAGAGATGTATATACTATATTAAATAGTTAAATAGTGTACTATCCCCACAAACCTGCCCCTGGACATCAACACTGTTTCCATTGACGACCAAGTCACGCATCCCATTTCCGAAATTAAGCGTTATACCACCACTCTAAATGCAAACGTAATCATGTAACACGTATTATTTCAATAAATGGTTATCATATATATCTGGAGCGAGAACTCGTGCCCAAAAAGTGAGGGCAGATTCGTATTAACAGCGCATATAAAAAGAGTAGAAAAAGAATTGATCTGGCGTCCAACAGCCCCTTCAATTTCCGCCATGTTGGCAAGCACTGTGCCCAAATTTCGTATTTTGACATTGATTTGTGTAGGTGACAGGATGGTTTCCAGTGCAATTTGAATATAACATGCACGAGTGAGTTTTTCAAAGACCTCGAAGTCCTGCTTTAATTGTTCATGCAAGTATTTGTATCCCTATCAATCCGCATCATTTATAGGCATAGCAGATGTGCTAGACTTTATATATAGATTTTAAGTGACACCAACTTACTGGAACATCAACAGTTCTCTTCTCTACTTCATCCGACACTGTTTTACGAAGAACGTTACAGGCAACAAAATGCTCTGTGAGAACTAGCACAAAGCCAAACAACGCAAAACTGATGGACGACATAGTGTGAATGTGTTTCTGCAACGATGGATTTTCTGGAGAGGAACCAAGTGAATAGATAGATACCGATCAATTATTTGGTTGTCGTTTTATACACGGTTATTTCGAAAATAACTATTGACAATTATTCCCGACGAGTATATTGCCACGTTAATCTTTCTGGACGAATTTAAAATATTTTTATAGAAAATTAACAATGTTCAAGAGATCTTAATTATAATTATGTTAAATGGTGCATGTTATGACGTAAATTGAGTGGGAGATGGCATTGTTTCACATGCAGAATAATTGTTCTGAGGAATGCTTTTTATTTTGTCAGAAATGAATAGCCTTCTCCGCAGGCATCTCGATGACCAAAGGCAGAATCACGCAATACGAATGGAGAGATGATGGGGATAACAAGAATCATGATGGATAATTGTTAAATAACTATCCCTCAATTATGATTCCTTGATCACCGAGTTAGCTAAGGGCTGCGAAGGAGGCTATTCTGATGGAATACAAAGGATTCCTCAGAAGAACTATTCTGCATATCGAACTTTAGTTTATAGCAGATAATAATAATCTGCTCAACTGGTTAACGCAGATAATTAATACTTTTTCAAAACAAACATGCATACCATCTCCCACTTATTTTACGTCATAGGCAAGCATGCATCATTTAAATAACATACCTAGATTGTTTAATTCTCTAGATTCGTCCAGAAAGATTATCGTGGCAATAGTTGTCAGGATTAATTGCCAATAGTTATTTTCTAAATTACCATATCATAAATTATAAGCGTGTTTCTCGGTCTTTATTTCCATCAGTAAATTCATCGTTGCATAAAAAAATTCACATTACGTCGTTCATCAATTTTGTGTTATTCGGCTACAGCACCAAGCCGTTCTCACAGAGCATTTTCGGTTGCCTGCAACGTTCTTCGTGAAACAGCGTCGGATTAAACAGAGAAGAGTAAAGTAAAACAAGTAAAGCTTTTAAAGAGAAACAACTTGCATCAAATGGAGGAAGGACTAACTTAGATTTTGATATATTACAGTTGTATTTCACTTAAAAATTCGCGGAAATATTAATCTTTAAAATCGGGAGCATATTTCTGGATGTGTCTGAAATATGCAAAAAACGGCGTATCAAATATTAATCAAGATTTGCCCGACTGAAACATGCACTATTACCAGTAAATAAATGACACTTGACAAATTGTTTATTATGAAACAAAGTATTATTATATCTACAAAATACAAGCAAGATTTATTCGTCCGAAATTCGCGTGTGTTCCTAGCACGAAGACGTTTCCTTATTTCATGAGACCACTGCATCGCGAATGATCGTCATGGATCGTTCGTAGTTCTGAATTAGGAATTGAGCAATGGAATTGTGAAGCTCTTCTAACTTCTGCAACGTTCTGAAATCTTGTTAAGAACATCCAAACTCTTTTGCCTTTTCTTAATCTTGGCAAGTTCAGAGTAAACTGAGAATTATATGAAACACAATCAAACCATATAACTCCATAAGACATAACAATTTAAGCAACTCCCCAGAGACATGCAACATTTTTGGAACAAAACGTAACAAAATAGTAGCGTTGATACGGTGATGTGCATTTGCAAAAAGCAATATTATTTCCTTCAATAAAATATTCATCCTGCTCTAACCGAGAAATAATCAACTCAGTCTGTTTGAACCCGTTAAAAACATAAAAAATTAGGCTATTTAAGAATAAGAAAAATTTAAGCACCTGCCTTCCATGGTCAGTCTTTCATGTACATTTAAGTTTGTAAAGACCTGTCCTAATATTAAATACTTGCATAATTTCGAACGTTCATATTTCAGGAAACAATGAGCTAAGACTTACATGTAAAATGTCTAAATCTACGCCATATCCCTTACAAACCCTAACGATAATTCGCTGAAATACAAGTTAGCCTAATATGTCATTAAGCAAACAAACGCTGGAGTTAATATTTGATATGCCGATTTTCGCTAATTTTAGACACATCCAAAATATGCTCCCAATTTTGAACATTAATATCTCCGTGAATTTTTAAGTAAAATACAACTGTAATATATCAAAATCTAAGTTAGTCCTTCCTCTATTTAATGCAAGTTATTTCTCTTTAAAATCTTTACTTGTGTAGAAGTTATTACGAATCAAACAGGAGTACTTTTCTTTGGGATACCCGATATATATATATATATATATATATATATATATATATATATATATATATATATATATATATATATATATTCCGATGTCCCAAAGGACAATACAAATTGTGTTTTTATTAAACATATTGCCTCGCCAACGATTTGCATTGACCTGTGGGACAATGCATAAATTGGTTTCTTGCGTTTGACGCCATTATAAGAAAAGTCTATTTGATGTTTCGCATCATTATAAAAGCAAATGCCTTTCCCTATATAGGGCGTCCCCAAAACCCCCAAAACTATTGAAATAACGTATTATTTGAATGCCCTATAGCATGCACTAAGCTGAACGCAAAGATGGGTAAAATATTGACAGGGTGCATTATTATATTAAATATTGACTTATTAAGAATAGTAAAAATAATGCCATGCATAAAATTTGACTCCATTGTGTTAACGCACCCATGGGTTTAGTTCGTTTTCCCTAACATTAAAACTAATTAATGCCTCCTCGTATTACATATTAAATCTCTCTTATAAACATTCTTATAATTAATTAACAGTTTCTTCTGCATAAAATGTACTTAATGTCAAGCTTTTATGCACTTGTGGGTTCAACAGAGTGCTGAGGCATTCAAAGTGGAAGAATATGTTATTTCATTTGTTGTTTTTTGGGGGATCGCCCTGTACAGGGTGTGTCAAAAAAAAAATAATCGAACTTGATCGCGCTGTTGTACGTGAATTACTCGGCGTTGGAAAGATCAGGGTTTTAGCAATTGAATGACAAGTTTTTCATGCCAAGTGGAGAAAAAATAAGCAACTACGAGTTCGATAAAAAATGTTAGTCAGAATCGCATATTTTCACCTCTGCGCCTAATTAAAGCAGTGAATGACAAAATAAAAAGCAATTAATCACGAATTTGTCGTAGCTTAGCTAAAATTTGTTCCTACTTAATAACAATTATGAATATGGGCGCAGTTTATTAATTGAAGTGAAATTCGTTAACTCTAAGTACCAAAGGAGGTTAGTTTTCAATGGTTTTAGACCCAACTCTCAACTGTGAAAATATTCGATTCTGAATAACATCTTTTATCGGATTCGCATTTGCTCATTTTTTATCCATTTGGCGTGAAGAACATAATATATCATTCAACAGTTAAAAGCCTGATCTTTCCGAATATAAAGAAATCTCGTTCATGTGCACAGTAATTCAGACACAATAGCGCGCTGAAGTTCGATTACCTTTTTTTTATACATGCACCCTGTATAACTGAACATAACTTCCCACACGCCGCCACACCTAGTCAAATCGGACTGATATGACGTTTAGGATATTAATAAGAAATTCAAAACTATATAATCGAAAAGGAAAGAGACGCTAATTCTATCTAGACACAACGTGGAAGTTCTTTCCCACAAATTAATACATATAGGTAAAGCCTGACGCACAGGATGCAATTTTTCTCGGCCGATATCAGTCGGCTGAATGAAATCCTTGGGTATGCGATGTCATTTTTAAGCGATTTTGATCGGCCGAACAATTTGATATTGCCCCATTAAAATCGGCCGACTAAAATCAGCCGAAGTCGCACCATTTTCGCCAAGCTTAAGGCTAATAACCACAAGAATTTGTAATCATAAGAATCTCCGAAAACATCTTATAATGTCGGACGGCAACACCACTGACAATAGATTTGTGGTGGTCGTTTGCATGAAGCATTAAAGACCAACAACAACGAATTTTTTGAAAGTTACTTCGCCAATGAACTTACTAGATCGATCGTTTTTGGAGCAATTTAAAACATTCGTATAGTGCGTGCATGTTTAATCAGACCATCAGACCATCTTTATTTCTGAAAAAACGCTGCTGCTCATATTTTAAATAGTACATGAAATCTTTGAAAATCTCACTAGTTGCCGAGCAAAAACCATGCATGCATGATGCTAAATATAAATCTCGACTATGGTCGCTTTCCATTAACACGGCCATACCGATCAGACCGGTCAAATTGTTGAATGGAACACAAATCATTTGGGCGCCGGCTTCCGACGTATTTGACCGGAAAATCTAGATACATTTTCGCTAGATATTTGAGAAACATAGACCAGATCTTTCCTTTGATACAGAGAAAATAATTAGAATCTGACCGGTCAGACCGTAAAATGGAAAGCGCCCTATGATTGGAAAATGGGTGAAGCTGCTAATTACAAAACGTCAATCATCCTTAATGGGCGAAAACCTGCACATTTGTCATAGCCATTTGGGCAGGCATTTCCTCAAACGATGCCCTTTCTTCTCCGCCCGCACAAGACCGGTACGAAGTCAAACCGGAATGATAATTGAAATTGTGAAAATGTTTACATGAGACCGGTACGAAAATCACCAAATTTTCAATTTATTCGATCCCCTTGCCAGGAAATTACCTTTTTTAGAATGTACGTATTTGTATTTACATTCATCCCAAGCCTGAATTCATACCGGTCTGAAGTCAGTCGGCTCGGTCCAGCAGGTGGAATGACTTCAGACCGGTCTGAGTTATTTTCGTCCCGATCTCATGTAAACATCTATTAATAATAATACTAATGACTGAAACGAAATGGTTCTGATTTGACTTCGTTTTGGTCTCATGTAAACGGGGCCAAGTAGAACCTCGACGTTCGAGAGAAGACCCTTCGTCGAGAGGTTAATAGACACCTTAAGATTACGTCAAACGTGAAACCGCTAGCGAAATTTTTGATTTTATAACTCCACTATATATATAGATTTTACACCAGTTTTGAAATATGTTAAACAATTATTAAACTTGTGCTCTTTAGGAATGATTTAAAAAGCAAATTAACCACTAATCATGTATTCACCAAAGCAATTAATTAATTAAGATTTGTCGTTTGAAGTTGACATTTGGCGTATAAATTTCATACTTGAACTGCTACGTGGGCTTGTAGTCATTAAAGCATGAAATTTATATACGCCAAACGTAAACTTCAAACGCCAAATCTTAATTTACTGCTTTGGTGAATACATGACTATAGTGGTTAATTTGCTTTCTTAAATCATTGCTAAATACCACAAGTTTAATTAATAATTGTTTAATATATTTCAAAACTTTTGTAAAAGCTATTATAATAGAGTAGTTGTAAAATCAAAAATTCGCTAGCGGTTTCCGTTTGCCGTAAACGTCAATCTTAAGGTGTCTAATGAAGGGTCTTCGCTCGAAACGTCGCAGTCCTGCTTTATGTTTAGTTGTTCAAGTACTTGCATCCCTATAGCAATCCGCAGCATTTATAGGCATATAGCACAGTATCCTGTGCTAGACTTTATAGATTTTAATTGACACCAACTTACTGGTACATCAACAGTTCTCTTCTCTGCTTCATCCGACACTGTTTTACGAAGAACGTTACAGGCAACAAAATGCTCTGTGAGAACCAGCACAAAGCCAAACAACGCAAAACTGATGGACGACATAGTGTGAACCTTTTTCTGCAACGATGGATTTTCTGGAGAGGACCCACTTGAATATGAAAAAAAGTATAGATACCGATCAATTATTTGGTTGTCGTTTTATACACGGTTATTTTGAAAATAACTATCGGTAATTATTCCCGACGAGTATATTGCCACGTTAATCTTTCAATCTGGACGAAATTAAAATATTATTATAGAAAATTAAACAATGTTCAGGAGATTTTAATTACAATTATGTTAAATGGTGCATGTTATGACGTAAACTGAGTAGGAGATGGTATTGTTTCACATGCAGAATAATTGTTCTGAGGAATGCTTTCTATTCTGTCAGAAATGAATAGCCTCCTCCGCAGGCATCTCGATGACCAAAGGCAGAATCACGCAATACGAATGCGGAGATAACGAGGATAACAAAAATCAGGGATAATTGTTAAATAATTGTCAGACCCTCAATTATGATCCCTCGATCACCGAGTTCCGTGCGGGCTGCGGAGGAGGCTATTCTGATGGAATACAAAACACTCGTCAGAACAACTATTTTGCATATCGAACTTTAGTTTATAGCTAGCAGATAATAATTATCTGCTCGACTGGGTAACGCAGATAATTAATACTTTTTCAAAAAAAACATGCGTATATAGCATACCATCTCCCACTCAGTTTACGTCATAGGCGAGCATGCATCATTTAACCAACATACTTAGATTGTTTATTTGTTTAATTCTCTATAAAAATTTTTAAATTCGTCTAGGGAGATTAACGTAGCAATAGTTGTCAGGATTAATTAATTGCCAATAGTTATTTTCGAAATTACCATAATTATCATAAATTAAAAGCGCGTCTCTCGGTCTTTATTTCTATCCAGAAAATTCATCGTTGCATAAAAAGGTTCGCATTATGTCGTTCATCAATTTTGCATTGTTCGGCTTTAGCACAAAGCCGTTCCCATACCATATTCTGTTGCCTGCAACGTTCTTCGTGAAACAGTATCGGATTAAACAGAGAAGAGAACTGTTGCATGTCCCAATAAGTTGGGGGTTATTTAATATTTAATTTCTAGGACTGAATAATATGCTATTATATGTCTAAATGCTTCAAGCAACCACCACAAATCTACTACCAAAAATCTACTGTGGTGTTGCTGACATCATGCATGAGATATTTATTTATATTGCACGTTTAATTTGCGTAGATAGAGCTAGTGTCATCATCGCCGTTTCGTCTTAAATTATATAGTGACTAACTAATATCCTATAAACCTCATCAGTCCGATTAGACTATAGGTGTGGCGGCGTGTGGCAAGTTATATATTTTAAGTTATTTTGGGCGTCAATTTTACACATTTTTTCACTTTTTTATCTTGAAAATACGGTTTTTTGAGAATGACAAATTAAAATTGGCTCCTACAATTTTTTTTTTAAATCTCGTATTTGAGGTGACTATGAATAGCTTCATGTGTGCAGAAAATAAAAACGTTTCGCGGAAAGAAAATTTTAAAAATCAATGAAAGAATGCAAAAAGACGATCTTTTTTAAATTACCTTGTTGCCGTGGCAATTTATTGTTTTTCATAATCCTTAGTATTTACGCAATGTTGTGTGCCAGTTTCGTGATCTATCTTGCAAACTGAGGAAATAATAGACTTAAGTGGCAGTCCCGCTAAGACCGGTCCGATGACTTTGACTTCGGAAAATAGATTTCCTTTATTTTTGTGTGTTGAAAGGCATTGGTATACAAGTGTCCAAAATTTATTTTTTGAAAATTCTTTTTTATGGCTTCGCTAGACGCCGAAACTCATTTTACCCGTGCAGAGCTATTTTCAAGCAAAATCGAAGGTTGAATTTCGGTAAATTGTAGAGCCGCGCTGAGTCAAAACGCCTAACTATTTCCAAATTTCAACTAGATCAACAAGTTAAGATACAATTCAGGTTCCTTGTTCCAAAAAATAAGAGCATTTGAATAAATCGTGAATAGAAGACAGCAACTTGACGGCGCATCGCTTTTTGCTTCTTGTTCGGTCTACAAAATTACACTAAAATCGAAGCCTGGGATCTCCAAATGGGGATCTAAAATTACGCTGAAATGTGCTTGGCTGTAATGATTTATACTTATTTTCAGAAGATCTGAAGAAAAATCTGCTGTTATCAATCTGTATTTGGCGCGAGTTAAGATTTTCTGGAGCCCATAATCAATGATTTTTGCATAATTATATTAATTTATAGCTAATTAACATATTTCTTGAGAGGCGCTAAAAGTAAACAATTTCTTTCTGACTAACATATCTCAGATGAAAGAAACTACCACAGCTAGTAAAAGCCTTTTTGTAAATATAGTCGTAATATTCTTTTCCTGACACGCTGAGAGAGCTTTCTTTTTTAATGTCATGCCACATTCATTCAGTCTGACCATGCAGATTCATAAATGTCACGAACTTGTATATTTCAAAAATATACCAGAATTCAGAAGACCGATTATTCTTTCCTTGATTCAGTTGATTGATTTAGTTGATTGATTTAAAAAACTATAAGTATAATAGAACATTCCATGTGTTTCCCTTCCCCCTAGGCCTAGAATTTTTATCAATATGTTCTATTTTTCTGTGGCGACGGCCAACAAAATACGACACAAAAATGTACATTCGAATTTATGATCGACATATCAGAATGTTTTTTATGATGTTTGAACACAAGCGGCCCAATCTCTGAACGTCCTATATATTTTGAATATTTAACCGTTATAATATTTTAAAATAACAAAATAATTCAAAAAATATTAACAATATACGTAAAAAATATATCTCACTTGTTAATAGAATCCATTTGTTGTGTTTCTGAGTCTAGTTGATGCGATTGCTTTATGTTTTCGTCGTACTTGAACGGTCGTCAGTACTATGGCACTGGACGACATGGCCGTATAGGGCATAAATAACTACAAGGCTAGCCACTTATCTGATATACTCTCCGACATCGAGTCCAATATCTCGCCTCAGAATCGTCGCAGAGCAATAAATTTCACATCGTCTAATAGCACGAACGTTCCTCTTTCGAAAGAGCTTGGTTTCTTCACCATTGCGGCAATTACCGCGACACACGACGAACTTTGTTTGTCAAAAGTCCAAATTTCCATTTTGGACAGACGCGCTAACCCCATGATCGTCGCCACGAGAGCTGCTCAGCAACCTGGCCTCCTCGTTTGAGGAGCTGGACTGGAATGAGGGGGCTTTCAAAGCAACACGATAAAACACACGATATAAATGTTTAATACTTGTTTATTGTCGAATACAGCATGATAAAGTAATAATTTCTATTTATATCGTGTGTTTTATCGTGTTGCTTTGAAAGCCCCCTCATTCCAGTCCAGCTCCTCCCCCCCTGATGGAATGTTTTCAAACGAGGAGGCCAGGTTGCTGAGCAGCTCTCGTGGCAACGATCATGGGGTTAGCGCGTCTGTCGAAAATGGAAATTTGAACTTTTGACAAACAAAGTTCGTCGTGTGTCGCGGGAATTGCCGCAATGGTGAAGAAACCAAGTTATTTCGAAAGAGGAACGTTCGTGCTATTAGTCGATGTGAAATGTATTGCTCTGCGACGATTCTGAGGCGAGATATTGGACTCGATGTCGGAGGGTATATCAGATAAGTGGCTAGCCTTGTAGTTATTTATGTCCTAGTATGGCCATGTCGTTCAGTGCCAGTACTGACGACCGTTCAAGTACGACGAAAACGTAAAGCAATCGCATCAACTAGGCTCAGAAACACAACAAATGGATTCTATTAACAAGTGAGATATATTTTTTACATATATTGTTAATATTTTTTGAATTATATTGTTATTTTAAAATATTATAACGGTTAAATATTCAAAATATATAGGACGTTCAGAGATTGGGCCGTCTGTGAGTTGGTGCGATTGCTTTACGTTTTCGTCGTACTTCAACGATCGTCAGTATTAGCACTAACTAAATAGGACATAAATAACTACAAGGCCAGCCACTTATCTGATATACTCTCCGACATCGAGTCCAATATCTCGCCTCAGAATCGTTGCAGAGCAATAAATTTCACATCGCCTAATAGTACGATCGTTCCTCTTTCCAAAAAACTTGGTTTGTTCATCATTGCGGCAATTCCCGTGACACACAACGAACTTTGTTTGTCCAAAATTCAATTTTCGAAAGAGACGCTAACCCCATGATCGTTGCCACGAGAGCCGCACAGCAACCTGGCCTCCTCGTTCGAAAACAATCGGCCAGGGGGGAGGATCTGCACTGGAATGAGGGGGCTTTCAAAACAACACGATAAAAAACACGTTTTGAATCAGTCCTATTTTTAGAAGCGTGAAAAGGCAAGACAAACAATTAGATGAAACTACTAAATTAATTTAGGCCCTGTTTACTTAATAGCTCTACGCCTAGGCCAATGTAGTCTCTACAAGATTCGTCACGCCACCGAGATTTACAGTTTCAGAATACCCCAAATACTTGAAAATTGCGACCGTACGATAAAATAAAACAAAGATTGTGAAGGGGATAAAATTTGTAGGCAAGCATTGCTCTTGAACGGCAAGTGTTGGTGTCCGGCGAAACAAGCGAATCCATATATTCCTGTACAGAGTAAACAGGTTACGCGAGGTTTTATATTTGTGACTTTGTGTTTATTTATATTGAACTAAGTCAGATCTATAAGAGCATATTTAATTAAACTAAATATTAATTATAGCAATAGCCATATTGTTCAAGACGAGAGAAAGCAAATTTCGTGTGAATCACCACTTGTATGGAGACGCCTAGATGCAGCTTGGATGCAGCTTGTAGTTGAAAATCTCCAGAAATACTTCGCTCTACACATAAATGATATTGATTGGGAAGTCTTTTGGCTATTTATTTGTTTCGAAGACTTGTATATTCATTAAAGAATATCTCGCCACTCCTTGACGAGTAGCTGTCAAATACTGCCATTTTTGGGTAGACACGTACCGGCCCAGACCAGGGCTTCATCGTCTCTCCCCTCGTCCTCACACTGAAGCCCTGGGAACGAGGTTGGTTTTACCCTTATAAATAGGGGGATCAAAAAAGTTTTAATGCAAAGAAAGGTGGGGTCAAAAAAGTTTTTGAACTTAAATACCATTTCTAGAATTCTGATTTCTATAATCACAAAAGAAAGACTCTAAAAATGCCATT